TGTCTATATAAATAAAAATGCAATGTTCGTTTGTGAGATTAACAGAACTCAGAAACCACTGGACGAATTGACACCAAATTTGAACAAAAGACAACAACTAAAGCAATCTATGTCTTTCACTAAAAAAAAAATACCTTGAGAAAGACTGGCTGTCTGTCAGGGGTGTTTTGATTGTGCTTCTGCTGCATTAAGGCAGAAGGGGGTTGGACTACATGGCCCTTGGGGTCTCTTCCAACTCTTTATTAGTATTAATGTTGTTGTTGTTGTTGAGGCTGGGTAGCCATCTGTCAGGGGCGCTTTGATTGTGGATTTGATGCATGAAAGCAAAAGGGGGTTGGACTAAATGGCCTAAGGGATATCTTCCAACTATTTATTAGTATTAATGTTATTATTATTATTGATGTTGTTGTTACTGAGGCTGGGTGGTCATCTGTCAGGGGTGTTTTGATTGTACTTTTCCTGTATTAAGGCAGAATGAAGGGTGTTGGACTAGATGGCCTTTAGAGCTCCCTTCCAACTCTATTATTATTATTATTATTATTATTATTATTATCATTATTATTCATGTTAATATTAAGGCTGGATGGCCATCTGTCAGGGGTGCTTTGATTGTACTTTCCCTCCATGAAGGCAGAATGAAGGGGGTTGGACTAGATGGCCTTTAGAGCTCCCTTCCAACTTTATTATTATTATTATTATTATTATTATTATTCATGTTAATATTAAGGCTGGATGGCCATCTGTCAGGGGTGCTTTGATTGTGCTTTCCCTACATGATGGCAAAATGAAGGGGGTTGGACTAAATGGCCTTTAGAGGTCCCTCCCAACTTTAGGATTCTGTGAAAGAGATCTTTGTCGACCACAAGCCAATAGTGTGATGCTGCAGCTGAAAAGGCCAATGCCATTTTAGGCTGCGTCAATAGGAAAAGCCTGAGAGAAGGCAAAAGGGAACTGATAATGACACTTTACCTCGGCTAGTTTTTTAATTGCTTTAAATGAGTATTATTTATTGCAACTGTTTATTTA